GTCGCTTGCTTGCTTGCTGCTGCTGCCTTGGCAGTGGCGCACAATTAACAGAAAGAACTCAACACGTTCATCAATAACACTGCGTGTGTGGCCTTAAAAGGAAAACATATAACAGGCGACGTTTCGAGCAATGGCCCTTATCTTGCTAGCATGTAAGAATTTTTATGGAGTCTTTTTTTTATTTTGAGAATACTTTTAAAAACGGATTCCTGCGCTCACGATAAATGCAATGAATCGCGAATGTAGCGATCAACTGCTCTCCATTCACACACGTGTTCCCCGATCATTTAATGTCAACCGTGCAGCCACTAGAGGCGCTTCGATGCATTACGATGGCAAAAAGAGGTTAAATTCTCGAATAGAAATGCGGCCCCCAAATCGAGACACTTAGTGGAGCCACGAGGTGGGCATATTAATCATTGAACTTTGAGACAAAAGACGAATTTGATAAAGTCATGTCCTGCATGCTCTGAGTTGGAAGTACCTTTCACCAGCGAGCCATCTTGTCACTGACAGAGCCTCATTAGAACAAACGCCAAATCCTACAAAGCAGAATTAATTACTCTACACAGAAATTGTTCATAAGTAACAGCGAGTCAGCAAAATAAACTCACTGATAAAAAAGAGATCGGGTTGAGACTCGAGCAGGAGGAAGCCAAGGTGTGGACTCAAGAGGAGTTCACCATTATCATCTTTGCTTCATTGGTATTTGATATGCTTTTGTAATTTAAATGACCCAGGTCACACTTGCAAATGAAGACTCCTGCTGGTCTCGTGAGATCTCGCCTGGCTAAACAAAATCAACTTGAATGCCGTTCGTGCCAGTGCACACCTCCACATATTTTCCCCTTTTCTTCTGCCAGATCTCACAGCTGTTGTGGGGGGAGTTCACACCCGACCCCCCAAGGTCTGTCCTCACAATCTCCTCAACCACAGAGTCTGGCTTCCGTGCTCGGCCACGACCTCTGGGTGCCACTCCAATAGCTGTCTCGGTGACCTCACGAGAGCTCCGGGTGTAACGATCTTCCCTCCCCTTCTCGATTCATCGCCGCAAATCTGTCCAAAGAATTGTTGCTATTTTTTGACACTGTGGCGAATGCAGCTGCCTCTAGTGGCTGGAGGGATCAGGTGAAGTCTGAGCTTGGCTCTGTTTCACTCCAGCGCAGTCTTCGAGACAGTCTGGTCCCTTCACCTGATGAAGGCCGCTTGTGTTGTGGCCGAAACGTCGTGATTTTTGTTGTTTTATTTTTTACCTACGTGACTTTACCGAATAGAACCAAAGAGTATGGATCCTTGCAGTCACGAAAGCTTCAAATCTAGAACATGCAATATATACAAACTGAAAAACACTCAATCTTCAATACGCCATTCAATGTGTGCATAATAAGCTTAAGAATCAATATTAACGGGTGAACAGATACAGGGTTACATTTGTAATAACAATAAGTGTCCTTTTTTTTACCCGGGAAAAAGCCTGAGCCTCAAGATACGTTTTTTTCAGGAGGTTTCTGCACTGGGATGTTCGGCCAATTCCAATAATGAGGGTTCTGCATGCAGGAGGAAACTGGAGTCCCTGCAGAGAATCCACACATACGAGGAGATATTCACTCAAATCTACACACAGATAGCTTCAAGATTCAATCTGCTGTGTACTGACATCTCCTGGCCACCTCGCAGCCTAAACCTGTGATCCACCAAACCTTTCCACCTACGCCATTTCCCAGCCATCAGACCCCGCTCTTGCCAATTACTGCTTAAGACCATAATATAGTTTTTTTTGGGTTAGATCGCGTAAATATGTGTCGTTAAACCGGCCACCACCCGACACAGCCAATTAGTAAGGTTTGTCACTAAATCAAACATGCCAATTCATTACTAGTGCAGCACACCGGTGTGTTGGAGAGTAAACCCACAACATTTACAATCTGTGTAAGACGTTTCGCCGGTAATCACAACTAGCATCATCAGGCGACAACCACATTTGTGGAGAAATCCTCCCGTTTCTGTTTAAGACGTTAATTACCCTTCTAGTAACACCTGCTGCCCATACAGACTTACTTTTTGATAACAGTCAATGAGATGTCTCTTACTAGGGGACCACAAGAGATGGTGATGGCTTGGGGAGGAGGCCTTCACCCAGCAGTGGCCCGATCATGGCTGGCCATGATGATGCCCGTATTCCGTGACCAGGATGTGTGGTGGTGCGGCGAGAGGCGCTGGATTGCGCCATCGCGCAATAAAAAAAAATTTTCGCACAGCCTTTTAATCTGGCAACCGGCACACGCTTCCCGAGTTTCGGAGCGAGGCGTCGTCTCTCCCCGGAAATCTCAGAGTCCTTCCCTCGCGTGACCAAGAAGCCACGGCGAAAACATACGACGGCTGCCACCGCACCGTCCCAGCACGCCGCAATTACCCTAATTGCTTCTCGCACATACAGCGGTTATTTATAAACTGCTTTCACTGCAAAGCAATTTTCAAACCGTGCGTGCGCATGCCCCCCACTTTCCTTCGCCGTTTCACCTCCCCGTACGCCCCACCGTGCCCAATCAACCACGCCCCCCCCCCCACCACCATCTCCGCCAATCCTACCCGCAAGAGTCTGCCGGGCAAAGCTATGCCTCTCTATAAGTGTGTTGACGTAGAAGAGCATTAGCTAACTCACAAGGTGTGAAAATAACTTTGTTGCTTTGGGTTGCCCATGTGGCAACACATTTAGTGTGTTCAAGCCGTATAATAATGTTTGTGTGGTGAGATCGCTCAATATGTGTGGAGACCGGGCTGGTTTGTTGAATTTCAAGGTTAAGATGATGACCCAGCGATGGATTTATCACCAGCTGCATGGAGTTGATCAAACGGGCAGTGAAAGCACACTAAAGTGGGTAAAATTGTGAAGAAGTCTGCAATCAGCTACGTTATAGGAATTATCATTTACAGATCTGTAACTCCTCTGTCTTCCTGACGTCTCCTGTTGCTGTTGCCGATTTCATTGGGAATGTGCAAACTATACAGCAATAGAGTACACGAATACTGTGCACGTGTGTGGGTGTACAACCCTTTGTCAATCCACTGCTGGATAAAAGCCTCACCGAGCCACATCAGTCACAGGGGGGTTGTGTTTGATCAGACTCCAACACGTATCTACGTATGTAGAACTTCTTTCCCACCATACAAAGACAACCATGCTAATCGGAGGTGCGGGGGAAGGACAATGTTGCTTCGCATGGAATGATGGGGGGGGTAGGGGGTGGAGCGGGGCAAGAGAAGTTCAGATATCACTGCCACTGACAGAATCCGTGACCGAGAATCGAACTCGCATCACCGCGTACGCGACGCAGAGCGCTAACCGCTGCGTCTACCGCTCCCACTCATACAAACGCTACAGACGCTATTATATTTGGCAAGTGTAGTTCCATCCCACGACGGTTCTCAAGTTTGCCCACAGTGACGTTTAACGGTGTCGCCCGCAATACGCACCACCCACGTCCCCCCCCCCCCCCACCTCCACCGCCTCCTTCCGCCGCTCCGTAAAAGCGGCGGAGCTGAGCAAGGAACTCCGAGGAGAAGCGTAATTTCCGAGCGCGTGCGCGAGCGAGACCCGCCGCTAAAGATCTAAAAGCTCCCCTTCGCCTTCCGCGCGCGCTCCACCAAGGCCCCGGCATGTTTTTTGGATCGCGCGCTAATTGCGCCGCGCGGCAGTCGCGCGCCCAAACAGAGCCGTGCCTGAGCGCGCCGCGAACACCAAAGGTGCGAGCATTAAGTGGTCTTTGCTGCCAGATGGCGGCTGCACACAGGGCTAGTTTAAATTAGGCGGAGGAGACGCTGCGATCTGCCCCGGGAATCCGCGTTCGTCACAGCCAGCTGCTTGCCGCCGTATAAGAGGACGTGGGCGCCGGGTTATTTATTTAACGAACCCAAGTTGCTTATTAGAATAAATATTTGGAACGGAGGAGGGGGGGGGGGGGTGGGGGGCAGCTTTTGGGGGTCAGGTCTAATTATCCGTACGGTCTTAGAAGCTTCTCACAAACGAATAGCATAGACGTGCTTTGATGCAACAATTAGTATATATCAAAACACCACAGGCACGATGCATTACTATCAAGTTTTTTTATTAGTTGTTGTAACGTTCTTACCCACCCCTAACTGGGCAGCTGTGAAATAGAGCTTTATAGCTCATCGGATTCCTCCAGTATAAATAAAAATTCTGATTCATTGAAACTATTGAAAAAAGTTAAGTGCCCTTGGGTAGGATATGATGGCCGAAGGGTGAAGAACAATAACAGAGTGACAGCCACAAAATCGAACACGTCCGAGAGGAAGTCCACAGGAGAGATGGAGCGACGAAATTAGTTTGTGTGCAAGTGCGAGGTGGATTGTTACACGCAAAATCACAAGAGAGATGGCGGCAGCTGAGGGGAGGCCTTCGTCCAGAAGCGGATTGACAAACAAGCTGGGAGCGAAGTTGCTTGAGACGCGTCAATTTCTCACCTAGTTTATTTCGTTCTGTGGAAGGGAACGTGGAGTGGCCAGAAACCCCCCACCCCTTCCCCTCTCCACCCCCCCCCCCCCCAACCCACGTGCGGAACTGGAAGTCACTGTAAACCCATTCAAAAGGCATCGGCAACTTACTGTGCTCTATTGCAGAGGTTCTCCAATCTTTATGCATCCACAGAGCCACTGCCCATCCTCAACAAATATCTGCAGACCGCCGTGCAAGTCAAAAAGGACGGATGGTGTTTTTTGTTCAACAAAACTTAAAACCATCTGCAACAGTTCCGTGGACCACTTCCCGCGTGCGGCCTTGTGGAGGAGCACCAAGCGGCCCACGGACAGCAGATCGTAAACAACCGCACCACCGTACATTATCACCGACCACCGTCACAGCTCTGCTGACGCGGGGCCTACACAATCCACCAAGCACAACTCCCCAAAGCACTGAATTTCAGGCCCTCCATCCCGACAGAGGTGGCAAGTGAATGACGGGGCAGTTGAGAAACACGTACCTTGGGGGCATCTTGGGTCTGGGGGAGGGCGTTGGGGTTGGCAGCTGGGGGGCGCTGGGCCCCCTGACCATGCGGTAGGGAGACTTGGGAACCCTGCCCAGCTTAAACCACAGCCCCATGCTGTTCAGCTCCCTGAAAAAAAGGTATCAAAGACAAAGATCCCCCGTATAGCCTTAACATACTTTTGGGGAGGTGCTGCTCACGAGAATCTACGAATGCTGGCACGGTACATGAGGGGGTGGGTGGCCAGCACCACACCCGAACGCCTTTGTCTCCCCAGTGGTGCTGTTTACACACCGCACAAGGTACTCATCACACTGACATATACACACCCACATTTAGTTCTAAGTATACGTACCGAATGAGAGCACAAAAAACCATCAAGTTACAATTAGGCTAATTTGCAAATAAAATATCAATGCGATTAGGTAATCATTTCTGTCAATAGCAGGGTTTGAAAGTGCGTCCCTGAGTATGTGAATAATAAACGTCACTTGATGGGACATTGTAAGTAGTTCTGTGAAATCTGGTTCAGCAGGCTATTTTATCGCCCACAGCTCTGTCGTACTCAACATTTCCAAATGCACATGATTTGGTGACGCTGCGTTTGCAATGATGCAAACGTATAAATAATAAAAAAAACCTCAACACGTTGGTGAATAACACTGAGGCCTTAAAAGGAAAAAAATAGAATAGGTGATGTTTCACAGCAATGGCCCTATTTCATATCACATACAGAGAGAGGCCTGACAGTGCGTGGCTAAGAGTTGGTGACGGCAACATGAGGACTGATGCGCATTAAATCACAACAATATTTTCTGGTGAACCATTTTTTTTTTATTGGCATATGTAGGTTACTCCTGTTCCAAACAAGGGCCATTGCTCGAAACGCTACCGATTGTACGCAGTGTTATTGGAAAACAAGTTGAGTTTTTTTAATGTTTGCCAACGATAGAATTAATCTCAAAGCAGCGGGCGCGACCCCGACGACCCACTCTGTACAGCCAGCTCACGGACGGAGCTGGCGGACAGCGCGAGCGTGTCCAGCCGCCGGTGCCCCGTGCCATGTGCCACCGTACCCGATGAAGGTGTAGTGCGGCGGGGGCTGGCGCGCCCGCCCGTTGACCTTGACGTCGCAGACGGCGACCTCCGTGGAGTCGCGCGGGATCAGCTTCACGCACAGGCGCTTCTTCTGCAGCGCAGGCTCCTCTGCGCGGTGCCACATGCACAGATACAGCGATGCACTAAGACAAAGGTCCCCCTGTGTAGTCTCTAACACACAGTTGGGGCGAGCGCTGCTAGCAAGCGCCTCTCATGCTCGGCGGGGGGGGGCGGGGGGGTAGTGACCGGGTACAGCCGCCTTCGTCTCTCCCGTGGTCGTGTCTACACACTGCACCGGGCACTCGTTTCAGGCCGAGTTGACCTAGAGGAGGTCCAAAACCGGTTCAGATATTGTTCGTAACCAACGTTGACTGTGGCTAGGAATTGAACACAGGAAACGCTGGGTTGGCAGCGCAGTAGTGCGCTAACCACTGCACTACCACGATCCAATCACACACTCACTTCACCACTGTTGGCATTATTCGTTGGGTTTCTGGTTGTAAGTAGGAGAAACAACTCGGCGAATTCGTATATAGTGAGTCACCATCGCGTGTTCCAAAACAGTATTGTTTCTGTTTAGCAGCTTCTTCTGGTGATGTGTACTGTGATTTATGGGTTGTTGTTGCATTAGTGTCCTTACCACAGCCGTCTACAATTAGTTGGCATTTAAAACCTAGTCACAACATCCTTAATACATTATTTTGACTCCATAGAAACTAAGTATTCATCTTTATCCTGTCCGTGCACTGGAATATGTTTTGTGGAAGGACGTACACATTATATTCTTGGTTCTTTCGAGAAAGTCACGTAGAAGGGAAACAATAAAATAATAAAAATATAAAACAATAAAATTCTCACGACGTTTCGACTGCAACACAAGCAATCATCATCAGGTGTGAAAACCACAAGAAAGAACATTTTTAAAAAGAAAATTTGAATCCCTGCAGTCACGAAAGCTTTAAATAAAAATTTGACGTACACATTATTTATCTGTCCCATCAATTTTCCAAAACAATGTTTAGTCGAAAAGATAACTGGAATGCGAATGCACGAAAGGCGAGCATCGGTGGGGATTCAACTGTCATACGAATGTGACACCCCACTACCACCCAGGTAAGCAAGGTACCTGCAGGATGTAGGTTATTTCCGACCTAATCATGTAAAGGTCAAGTATTCCACTTGAATACTCATTCCATCCCATACCCAACAAAACTCTTTAAAATCGATCTGATCAAACATCCCATTCAATGCAGGAGGAGCCCTTCACGAAATAATTTTGTTATTCAGTGAGGTGTTCTGAGATAAATGATATGACCACAATGCAAACGCAGTGATGAGTAAGTGTGTGCGCCCCTCACAATCGGGAGGTTGCGAGTTCAAATCTTGGTTGGGGGTCGACTCGGCCGGCCCATCATCCCTCTCAAGTCGAGAAAATGAGTACCATTTTAAAACGTAAATCAACAATGGTTGCCCTAAGGAGAGACTCTCTCCCGCCATAAGAACGTGGAGTTTTCACCACTGGTGCTGGGCTGTAAACAGGAGATGAACATTGCCTCAATGCTCGTTTGAGCAGGAACTGAGTGAGCCGAGTTTGATTGCTGGTCGTAAATAACATCAATGACAGATGGTATCAATGCCTGTCCTGGTTCACCCCTAGTTAAGCTCAGCCGTAAATGAGTAGCCGGAGTGGTATATGAACATCTAGGAATAGAAACACCAAGGTGGCCAGGCACAGTGCTGTCCCCAGCACCGTCTATTGTCCACGCCAGGCCTTAGCAAGTGCTCTCTAACAGCACTTGACGTTGCAGCTTACCAAGCCAAATATATCTTGCATTTATTTTGTTTACATATCTGTTGCCTTGAATAAAGTGGCCTCCACTGTGGGAATGTGAAGCTTGCTCCGCTGCCTTAGCAACTGCCAAGATAAATGAGTGCCGCCCCAATGTTGATTCAAGCAGACACACTCTGACAAGTTCAACTCCCGGTCCTGGATCAAATAAGCCCATCATTTCCTTGGAGCTGATTAAATTATTAGCACTGTCAACAACGGTTGTCCTATGGGATGACACTGCCCCCACTGTAGGAACGTGGAATTTCCACCGGTGCCTCGTTTGTCCATTCCACGCTAAAATAAGCGCCGCTGGCAGATGACGTGCACGTGTGCTAATGCGCCGATCGCCAAAGTTGGAAGAAGAAGAAGAAGAAAAAAAAAAAGACACCTTGAGCAAAAAAAAAACACACCCGGTGACATATAAGCTGGGCGATGTGCATTTCACGACGGCCATTTACCAACAACGATGAAACGCTGACGTCCGTTTGAATATTTCCCGTAAGCTGGTGTGACGCACCCAAAGGTGGAATATAAAAACATCACAAACAACCAACGGTGGCGGCCCACCGAGGCCATCGGCTAGGGTAAGTGCAAGTACCGGACGTGAGCCTACGTTTGCGACGGGTTAGAGTAAACACATTCATCTTTCCACAGTTGGGGTCCGCGATATAGTCAAGGGCACAGCGACGCGAGCGTGCGTAAGACCGTTGCGTCAACAGCACAGGTGGCGGTGCGTGGGCCGTGCTGTGGCGTGCAGAGCGCGTGACCTTGTCGAGGGGCTCAAAATAATCACGCGGGTGTCACCGCAGCGGATACAAAAATCTAAATAAATAAGCAGACCATTTTGTTTCTTTTATATATCCGTCTCTGCGCGTTAAAAGAAACAAAACGGATTTCTTGCACAACTCATCAGCCATCACAGCCTTCCGGGAGTCCATAATTTCAGCAGAATTATTTCAAGACAAGCACACTCTGTACCGGTTTTGACGTAGTGTATCATCAAGTAAGTCTGACTCTGCCGATAAGAAACTATGTCAAACCCGGCCCAGAGTTCGGGTTAACTGAAATTAAATACTCCCAGAAGGCCATGCAGCTGATGGGTTGTGTAAGAAATACATTTATTTTTTTCATATGGAGAGATGGATACATGAGGAAGACATTGTCTAATTATATATTTTGTCGAAAAGTAGAAGCTTGTCAGCAAGTAGACTGCTGGGGTCAGCTTCTTAAAACAACTGAAGTACAAAATGCCCCCTTTAGCTCCTATTTAAATCAGTGTCTTTTCAGGGAAATTTTCATTTAAGGGGTCCGACATAACTGCCCACTGAGGGTTTGTGTGGGAATTCACAAACGAATTCGACCAAAAAAATCGCCAATGTCATACGCGGACCACGATTCACTGCTGCCACTGTTGCCAGGCGTGTGTGACTGTGTCGTTCACAAAAAAAATATACACTGTGCGAGGAGAGGTGTAGCTTGGTGGCCCCGAGGGGTCACAGGGACCATGGTTGGAACCGCTGAGTTTCCGCGTTTGAATCTGGGTTTTTTGGAAGGCCACTATTAAGCTGGGTGCTCAGCGGTAATGAGTTGATGGTCTCGGCCTGGTCACAAATGCTCGGATAAATAAAATCCATCGCATGTAATTTGGTTTTGAACTTCAAGCCGCCATGTTCAAACTCTCAAAATTACAAACACCAGGTTTACCGTCAAGCAATAAACATATCTGTCAGCAGCAGTGTGTGAGAGAACTACACCCCGATTAAATTTTGATTTAAAGCTTTCGTGACTGCAGGGATTCATATTCTTGGTTCTTTCAGTAAAGTCACGTAGAAGGGAAACAATAAAATAATAAAAATATAAAACAATAATATTCTCACGACGTTTCGACTGCAACACAAGCAATCATCATCAGGTGTGAAAACCACAGCAAGAAAATTTGAAAAAAGTGGCGGTTATTTTTAACGTTAGCACCACGGAGAGAGATTTGACAGTTTGTTCAGATGGACGAGTCCATCTATGTTCGGAAAAGAGGAGGGGGGAGACGTCTCTGATGATGATTGCTTGTGTTGCAGTCGAAACGTCGTGAGAATTTTATTGTTTTATATTTTTATCATTTTATTGTTTCCCTTCTACGTGACTTTACCGAAAGAACCAAGAATATATACACCCCGATTGTTACCTTCTTGTAATTTCAAGTCCCCATTCCCGGATGGGATTGGCTGCTCAGATTTTCTTTCTCCACGAGCTTAAATTCTGCACCTCTTCTCTATTCCCAGCCACTGTCCTCGTATCTCGTTCCACCGTAGCCTCCCATCTCACCCTCGGTCTCCCTCTCCCCATTCTGCACTGCACTGATGGCAGCTCCACATCCCTTCTAGACTATGGGTCTCTATGTGAGTCTATGAGTCTCTAATCTCCACGGTCTTTCAAGACTATGGGTGTCTATGTGAGTCTGTGGGTCTCTCATCTCCACAGCCCTTCTAGACTATGGGTCTCTATGTGAGTCTGTGGGTCTCTCATCGCCACAGCCCTTATAGTTACATATTCTTTGTCCCTTCTCAACAGGTGCACAAACCATCTCTCACCTCCTTCACCTTCTCGAGAATATCAGTTAAAAAAAACCCTGATAAAGCTCCAAATTCTGCATTACCCCTCTTTTCCCTTTGAGATATTCCCACACAATCTTCTCACATTATAATCTCTGTCCTGGCAAGAAATCTTTCTCCTCCTTCCTTACTTCATTGTTTGTATCAGCGTTTCTACACCATGTACCAGCACGTCAATCTTCCAAAGTGATCGTTTCACTGTTTACAGTATTTGGCTGCTATAAATTTACACGTGATAAGCCACTTCATTAAGCTATCATGTAGCCAGCTGGCTCCTGAAAAAGAGCTATATAGCTCAGTGAGCCTTACCTGGTAACACAATACATTTTACCTTCCAGTATCTCTGGCATCTTTGCATCAAATACAACTCCTGAAACTCAATACATGTAATCTGTCCTGCTTCAACAATCACTCACTATTGCACTTAAATGACTGACCTCGGAGTGAATAAAAATGTCTCTTGAAGGAACCTCATAATAAGTTCTGCGATATCTGCTTCTTTGGCCCATTCTCTAGCACACGGGGCGAGGCACTGCTCCAAAATGTATACTTGGTGTTGTGACATGACACTTACAGCACTTTTGGAATATAAATGTGAAAAAACGAGACAAACTAATAACACTACATGATTTTGTTTCGTTCAAACTAATATATCTACATCGGCTTAACCA